TCCCAAAAGAATTAAAAGAATCATACCACAGTGATGTATGTGCACCCATGTTTATAGCGGCACAGTTTGTAATAGCTAAAGCTTGGAAACAGCCCAGTTGCCCATCAACTGGAGACTGGATAAAGAAAATGTGTTTTTTTTATAAAATGGAGTACTACTCAGCCTTAAAGAATGAAAAACTAGAGTCATTTATAGCTAAATGGATGCATATCGAGGCCATAATCTTAAGTGAAATAAATAGGACACACATGTGTCAATACCGAATAGTTTCGCTAGTGTGAGAAACTGATAGTGTAAACAAGGGTTAAAATGATTAAAATGAATAACTGATAATTTGAAATAGGAAAAAGGGTCCAAAGATGAAGGAGTGAAGGGAGGGGAAGGGAAAAGGAAAAGAGGGAAAGGAAAAACTATGAGAAAAGAAAAAAAAATGGAAATGAAATCTATGCAAATAGGGAAGGGCGGAGGGGGTGAAGGGTGCACAGGTAATGGGGAAAAAATAAAAACCAAGATGCATCATGTACAGGTACAAACACCCAATGACAAATGTAAACGAATTGCATACCTAAAATGTACCAATAAAAGAACTGAAAGAATTAAAAAAAAAAAAAGAATGCTTCCTGTATCCATCAGGGAAAGGTACTGAGATGCACAGCAGGCTGCTATTATGCTAAAGTAAAATTTTACAGTAGAAAAGTAAGGAATGTGCTTGTGAAACCCAGTGCTAGGCTCCTCAGGTTTAATGGTTCTGCCTCCATAGAACTTGGCCTCAGCCCATGACAAGGCTGGTGTGTGACCCAAACCGGCCCAGCGGGAGCCCAAAGAGAGCCAATTATCACCCCATGTGCCCATACTCCAGCCCTTCTTCCCTCTCCTCCACACCTCCAGAACCTTTCCACCAGTGTGGGCAGGGTATGCACATCAGGGAGGATTAAATCCTGTTCTGCTTCCAAATTTAGAAAAGAAACCTCTTGGTCCCCCAGTATTTGGGAAAAAAAAGTATTCAGAAGAGAGGCCCCCACAGGTCCCTCAAGGATAGATCAAGTCCATCCAAACAAGTGCTCTTTTCCTTGTATACAAATTACACAAACTTCTCCCAGAGCTAGCAACCTCCCAATTAACTATGCAACTGACACCAGGTCTGGAAACAGCGGAAATGCACAGCACGGCTGGCCCCATGGCTGGTTGGCAAGACTCCATCATGGGCTGTAAGTAGATCAGCCATCATCTTCAGCCGCAGATGGAGCACAGGGTCACAGTGGGGGCTGCGACCCTATGTAGTAAGCTGTGCTTGGTACCATCTGTCATCTGTATTTCCTGTCCTTTAGGGAGAGCATTAGAAGCCAATTGCTGAGGGCTGGGAGCTTCCAGCACCTGAGGTGCCTAGCCTGGTTCTACCTCATGGACACCACGCTCGGGGTGAGCTGAGGCAGGTCCCCTCCGTGGCCTCTCAGGCTGAGCTCCCAGGACGCGTCCTCTACCTCAGCCTCAAGCCTCAGGCAGCCAAGGAGACCGAAGGCTGACCTCAGGGACGGTGGTCCACACTACATTCTGTGTCCAGGCCCGGGCACCTGTGGGCCCCTGGTGGGACACGGGAAGGACCAGGACAGTTGTATCCCCCGGCTGCAGGTTCTGCAGACATCCTCTCCAGGTAGGCAGGACTCTGGGTCCCCCATTTCGAAGGCCACTAGGGCCACCCCTGCAGCTGAAGCTTCCTATTAGGGGAAGTCTCAGGCCCCAGGCCCCTCCTGCCACCTCTACCTAGGAGGGCTGTCCATGCCACCTGTCTCAGGCAGTCAAGGTCCACAGGAACAGGCTGGGCAAGACCATGACTCAGGCCTGTCCTAGACACAGTCATTCTGGATGAGAGTCACTGGGAAGAGGGGCAGGACTCAGGGGATAAGGACTCACTGTCCCTCCTCCCCAGACACCAGGCAGTGTGGCTCAGCTGTGGTCAGCACTGCGGGTTGGCCTGGTCCACAGCTCTGCATCCATCCCTGTCGGATGCCCTGGCCCTGCAGCCTCCCTGGTCACTTGTAACCTCTGCCTGCCAAGTCTGTGGACACCGCAGAGCCTTTGCTGGCCAGGCCCTCAGCAGCCCTGGCTCCGTGGTAAGCCCATCTCTGCCCACCCTGAAGCATGGCACCCCTGCACTGCGTACCCCACCTTTGGCTTTCCCGCTGACCCCCACTCTCCCGCACCGGCAGCACCGGGACACCCCACTCAGCGCCAAGCTCCCATGAGAGTCCTGCTCACACAGGGAGAGGCAGGCTGGGGACACAGACCGGACCGGCTGGCTGCACCTCTGGCTCCAGGTCCCCAGAGGCAGTACTGGGAATGACTGACAGCCTCAGGCAGAGGATGGCGCCTAGCCTTGGCACTCAGGCCCAGAATGAAACAGCGAGGGAAGAGGGGGCCACGCCCTGGGGAACACCAGACGTGGAGTCCAAGAATGCTGTTCAGGGTCCCCTTGAGGAAGGGTCCTTGGGAGCTCAGCACCACCAAGGCCCAGCGGAGAAGGTGAGGTCCAGAACAAACCGGAAGACCCAGTCTGCAGTCAGCAATGCCCTCTGCCACCGCCCCAGCCCCGAGCTCAGCCCCTCCTCTCGGGATAGGCCAACCAGACCACTTCCTCCACAAGGGAAGGGGCAGGGGGCAGAGGGGTCTCACTCCTGGCAGAAGGCAGCACAAAGGCTCGAAGGTGCCCACGGGCAGAGCCGCCGTCGAGAGTCTGAGCGTGGAGAGGTCAGGGTGAGCAGGAGGCCAGGCTGCCGAGCAGGCTGCAGGTGCACGGTGGACGCCTCCGGGTTGGCAGCAGCCGGGCCCTGCACCTGGGGCCACAGGCTGGGGGAGGCTGCGTGTGGGGCTCTGCTCAGGCTCCCCAGGCGGCCAGGTCTGCACGAGGCTCCCTCCAGGGCCCTGGGCTGCGGTCCTCCCTGGCTCTGCGCAGCGCCAGCAGCCACTCCCCACCCACAGCTCCTTAGCAGCTCTTCCCCGAAGCCACCCTCGATGCCGGCCCAGGGTCCGGACCAAGAGTCCTGCAGTCCCTCCGCCCCCTGTCTGCTGAAGCCAGAAGGGCAGCCTAGAGTCCTGCGGAAACCACCGCCTCCCACAGCTGTTTCTCTGTCTTCCTGTCTTGTTCTAAATCTTATTCTCCGGCTGCCCTTTCATGTGCCAAAAAAGCTACAGGAAGCCTAGTTAAGGGAGATACTGGGCGTGGCGGCACTCACCTGTCATCCCGGCCCTCTGGGAGGCTGAGGCAGGAGGGTCACAAGGCGACGTAGTGACTTAGGAAGAGGAGATAAAACAAGGCTGAGGCTGCAGCTGAGGGCAAAGGCCATGGGTTCGATGCCGAGTGCCGCGCATGCGCGCAACACACACACACGGAAACAGAAGCTGTGGAACAAGCGGCGAGGCATAGACCTGCACGGCGGCCGGCGATGGCTGGGTCGCAGGACCGAGCAGCGTCGTGGTCACGTGCGGCTTCGCGGCTGTCATTTCTACCATTTCCTCTCCCTTTGCCCAGAAACCCGAGAACCGGGCAGCAGAGGCCCCGGGAGAGCGCGGGCCCCGGGCAAAGATTCGGCCCTCGCGGGGAGAAGGACGCGGCTGCTCCACGCAGGCTCCTGGCTCGGCCTCCCCGCCCCTGGTTCCACGGACGGCCCTTCCCGCCTCTGCGGGGGACCTGAGGCAAGTGGGCCCTCCGTGTCCTCGGGGCCAGCCTTGAGTAAGCCCTTTGTCCTTTTTGCTCAGATAGGTGGCCTCCGGCCTGGTCAGTGGCGAGCAGAGAAACCTGAGAACGTCCGCCTAATCAGCCAGCCACAGTGGCGCACGCCCATGACACCAGCACGCAAGAGGCTGAGGCGGGAGAATCACCACGAGTTGGAGGCCAGCCTGGGCTACATAGCAAGACCGCGTCAACAACAAAAAGAAGAAGATGGACCTCAGGGTCCCCGCACTCCCTGTCCACCGCAGCTGAGACCTGAGGGCAGCCAGGCGTCCAGCGCGGGCGGGCGGGGAGGAGACGCCGGGCGCAGGCCGGGTGGCTGGGCTGCCCGGAAGTGAAGGGGCGGAGCCACAGCCGGGCACTTCCGGCTGCAGCGGGTCACAGTACCGTGCCAGGCGCTCAGCCCCTGCCGCAGTGGTCTCAATACAAGGAGACACCCTGAGCAAGGGCAGAGGGCAGGGGGCTGAGGGGAAGATGCGGAGGGGAAGGCTGCACTATGGAGGCGGAGTCAGCAGGGCCAGTGCCCCCGGCCTGTGAAGCAGCAGGTGAAAGGGCCAGGCGTCAGGACGTCGCCCGATGTCCTCTCTCCTCCTCCTGCCCCTAGGAAGGCGGGCGGGGAGAGCTCAGGCCCGGGCAGAGGCCGTGCTGGCGCCTGTGTACTGCAGGAACAGACAGGCAGTCCTCACGTGGCACACGGAGGGCACAGCAGGGGCTGTGAGGGGCACGCGTGGCACACAGTCGGCACAGTGGACACCTGCCAGCACCTCCCGCTTCTCAGCGGGCACCTGCAGCCCGGGATCAGCATGGCCTGAGGTCACAGCAGGGGGACCCCCAGGCTGCACACATGGGGGCGCTGGACCCACCGGCCCTTTGTGAGCCGCAGCCTCACTGCTCTCTTCCCAGGAGATGGTGAAGCCCCTGCCTGGCACCAGGACACAGCCCGGGAGACAACTGGCAGCTGCTCAACCCTCAGGGGCCCGCAGAGCAGCCTTGCTCCCATTCCTGCCTCCTGTCCATCCTTCCTGAGCTTTGCGGTGAAGCCCGGGGGCAGAGGCCTCAGCCTATGCCTCCCTGGGCGGCTATGGCCCGCACACCGTCCTCCCTGCCTTTGGCCCTTGTCCCTGCTCTGGCTAAGGCACCCGGCAGAATGCCGCCGCCACGCCTCGCCCTGGAGGTGGCCTTGCACCCGTAGAAGCAGGGTTCCTACTGTGAAGCTGGTCCCATGAACTTGCTGCCTGCCCAGTTCTCCTCCTCTTCCTGTAGCTCCTTTGGGCTTTTCTCCTGGACAGCGCTGGCCAGGAGGACTCGGTGGCCCGACCCTCCTCCCCAGGCGGTGCGCCCCTGGGTCTTCTCCTTTCCCTGCTGTGCTGGCCAGGAGCGCGGATCCCAAAGACCCTGGCTGAGGCTGCCACAGACCGCAGAGGGCACAGCAGGTGTCTTCCTGGTCCCAGCGTGCCACCCTCTCCACGGGCCCAGGCCAGCTGGACGGAGCCGTCAGCTGGAGAAGGTCCCTGCCCGGCCCAGTCTGCTGGAGTTTTGCCAGCACTAATGCCGAGTCTCTTCACTTGTGTATCAAGTGTGCTAGTCTTCCCAGTATCGATGGACTCGATCACCTGAAGTCCGCTCCTTTGTGTGCCCTGCAGGAACAGTTGCTGAGCAGATGGCAGCCGTCACTCCTCCCCGTGTCTGCACCGTTGGAGCCCAAGGCGCCCACTGCTTCCAGGTGTCCTGACCCCCACACCTGTGTGACCCAGACGGGCAGCACCACAGTCACCTCAGACCCCTCTCAGCAAGGTGACTCTGAGGCCCAACCCGAGGCGGCGTCTTCCCGGAAGGTGGGTCCAGACTTCTACCTGCTTCCGCCAGCAACCCTGCCACGGATTCCCGTCTCATTCACTGCCACAGGAATGTGAATGACCCTGTTTCCGGAGAGGCTGGCTGAATGCTCCTTCTGTAGTCCCTGGGGCCGAGCCTGTGGGAGAACAGTTCCGCTGGACTCTTGTCACTGCGGCAGGGACTGCGAGACTCCAACAGTGGGTCCCCTGGCTCCCCTGGGTGGCTCAGACCCAGCCTGTGGCCTGCAGCTCCACCAGACAGCAGCTACTGCTGCTGCTAAGTGTTCTTTCATTGTCAAGTTAATTTCTCTGTTTTCCTTTCTTACGTATTTCATGGGATATTTTTTTAAAATAAAAAAATAAAGTCCATTCCTTTGTTGAATCTGTGTTTCTGAGGAACATTTTCTGCTCTCGCTCTGCCCTCAGCATCAGGTCAGCACTGGCGACTTGGGGAGCCTTCTTTCCTGGAAACCAGGAAATCCCTCACAGGTCTAGTGCAGTTGGCCCACAAAGCCATCTGGACTTTCCCACAGGAAGACCTTACTGTGCAAGCTTTTTCCTCACGAATTGAGCACCACCCGTGTCCTCCTGGTGCGCTGTAGCAGCCTGTGTCGTTCAGGAATGTGTTGATGAGCTCCTGTCACCGAGTGCGATGCCACCTTGTGGGGTTTCGGCCTGGGTCGAGTTCTGCCCTGCAGAGCCCGGGGAAACCAGGACATCTGCCAGCGCCAGCCTTGGGAGCCAGCTGCGCCTTCTGGGGAGGAGAAGCAGCCAGGCTTCCAGAGCCCAGCCGTGTTCCGGCCCGGCCTCCCGGGCTCCTCCCTGTGCCCCCCATTCCCAGCTCTGCCCAGCCCTCTGCCCAGTGCACGAGAGTGTGCCGCTCTCGTGGTGAGCCCGCCCATCCGGGGCTCTGGCTGTGTGCACCGGCTGCTCCTCAGGTGAGGGGCGAGGGAAGAGGAAGCACTCTGCCCTGCTCCCTGGGTGCTCCTCTCCAAGCCGAGCCGCTCCTGACTTCCTGTCCGAAGCCTCGTGCAGTCTGGCTCCGGGTCCTGAGGCTCTGGATGTGCTGCCTCAGCAGACCAGGACCCCAGGCGGCCAGCCACTCCCTCCTCCTCACACCAGGGTCCGGGCTGGCACTCTCCAGACTTGGACTTTCTGAGTGGTTTGTAGTCTGAGACTTCAACCACTGAGCTCCTACAGCCGGTTCCAGAAACTTCTCCAAGTTCACTTCATTCTGTGTGTGCCGCTCCATCCAAGGGCAACCCCGAGATACCCGCTCCTCCTCTAAGAGCTGGGGGAATCTCACACACTCCTAAGCTGTGCAAGCCACCTGACTGATAATCGAGGAGCTAGCAGGGCCAGCGCTGGCTCCTCCAAAGTCTGCTGCGAATGGCTACCGTCACCCTCAGCTCACATCAGGGACTGTGCAGCCCCAGACTGGTCCAGAGCAGGACGTGCGGCCCGCGGGTGACCAGAACCGAAAGGGCAGAGCCGGGAGCAGGGCCTGATGTCCGTTCTCCACCAGCATTTGGTCTCTGGCTCCTGTGGAGTAGAGGAATCCAGCTCCTTCCCTTGGGCAGAACGCCACCTCCGGCTGCCACCTTCCAGCTGTGCCCCTCAGAACGCAGCAGTGGGCACCATGAAGCCAACAGAAATCACCCACCGGACCAAGCCTGATGTCCTCTCTCCAGCGTGGTTTCCGGAGAACCCAGGACTGAGGATGTCACGTCTTCGCTCAGATATTTGTGTTTCACTTGTAAATAAATAAAATCAGACTTTGCAATGAAAATAAAATTGTCAACCGAGGGGAATCGCAAGATCTATAAATTAGGGCCATGATTTATATTTCACTGACAAACCGTAAATCAGCCCAGTGACTCCAGGTCAGTGTGGAGCGCACAGAGTGGCCCAGAGTCCAGTTCAGGTTGAAACTTGGTAACTCAGAGGACAAGACAGGAACTGGACATGGCCCCCAGCCTCGGGCTGGGAGTGAAGTGGCATCTTCCAGCCAGGCCCACACATGGGGACGAGGGGACAGTGGCCAGGGAGAGGCTGACCTCATGCAGGGCCCCACCCAGACCCTACCCTCCCTCTGCCTGGTGTCCAGGGGAAGTAGAGGCCATGGCAGGCAGGGGCTCGGCCATGGGTTTAGGAAAGGACAAGGCACACGCAAGGACCCACACGTGAAGTGCTGCGGGGGAAGCCATGTGCTGCGCCACTGGGTCCCGACGTCCAGGGCTGCAGCCTCAGTCCAAGTTCTGCTGTGACTAAGGCCACTTGCTGGTCTCTCTGAGCTGCAGTTCCTCCATCCCTGAGAGAGGCTGAGGGCACCACCTCACAACAAGGTCACAGAGTCAGAGGAAGGAGGAAGTGGGAGGCACGCAGGACAGAGCTGGGATAAACCACAGCTATTTCTGGGGGGTTTCCATTAACTTTATTGGTACATTTTAGGTACACAATACAGTTACATTCATCACTGGGATCTTGTACCTGTACATGATGCATCTTGGTTCCAATTTTTTTCCCCTTCCCCTTCCCTCCCTTCACCCCCTCCCCCCTTCCCTATTTACAAAGACTTTGTTTTAATTTTTTTCCTTTTCTCATATTTTTTCTTTTCCCTTCTTTCCTTTCCCCTTCCCCTCCCACTTCCCCTACCCCTTTGGACCTTTTCTTCCTATTTCACAATATCAGTTATACATTTTGATACTTATTTACACTTTTAGTTTTTCACACTAGAGAAACTATTCATAAACCACAGCTATTTCTGTGACCCCCATGAAGGTCAGCATTGTCTCAACACTGTGTTTGTGCGAGGACAGAAACAGAGAGAGAGAGAGGGGCAGAGGACAGATGGTGGGGGGGGTCAGGGTGGGGATGGAGCTGGGGCAAGGACCATCTCGGGCAAAGGAACTGCATGTTATCTTTGGACAGAAGGCACCCCTGGACATGAACCTTCCATCCGGAAACCAGGAAGTCCTAGTGAACTCAGGTTGCATGCTGGCTGCAGCAGGGAGCCCTAGCATGCCACACCTGCCCAAGTTAGGAGCCCCAGCTTCTCAGAGCCGAGGCCCCACCTGCCACAGGAGTTCTCAGCCCCGTGCCTAGTCCTGTGTTGGAGCCATGTGCAGGTCAGGTGGCTCTTACCCTCCTGTGCCATAGGAGGGCAGGTGCCCTGCTTTCTCTGAGGATCGGGCTGTCCTCAGTCCACCCGGCTCAGGGCCCCAGGTACCCAGGGTGGCAGGCTTGGCCTGTCCCCAGCACCCATTCGAGGGACCTGGTTGGCACTGCCAGGCAGCGATGCCCACCCATGGAATGCTGTGCGCTCTTCTTCCTGGGCTCCACACCCTGCCCTCAGGCTCCATGTGGACAGCTGAGCCCCTAAGACAGGACCGGTCACCACCTGACCTTCACTCTGACCCTGGCCCCTTGCTGTGCACTGCAGCCAGTGTGACTCGCCACCCCTGAGCTCCAGGAAGCACCAGGAAACCCCATCTGCACGTGACCAGAGGGAGTGGCCTGTCCCTGGGTGTCCCTGAGCCTCCGGTGGACGGCCCTCTTGTTTCATTCTGCACAATCCAGACCCTCCCTCCAGGCCACCAAGGTCAAACACTACAGCCTCTGGTGCCCAGCAGGGCCCTGCAGGGATATCCCGGCCACTTCTGTGCCTCTGAAGCCATCACCGGGCTCCGAGGCCTCTGTTTAGTGGCTGAAGGACCCGGTCACTTTCTACAGAGGTCACCATGGCTTCCCGTAGCCGTCCAGGACAGCACCCGGTAGGAGGCCAAGTGAAGCAGCAAAGAAGTAGGTAGGGACACGAGGTGCCTTCCAGGCTCAGGCCGCGCGGGCACAACTTGCCCTGGGGCATGAGCAGCAGCCACCGGGATCCACCGTCACTCGTGGCCCCGAGCCTGTGGGCTGACTGCAAGGGTCGTCATGTGATGGTTTGCGCATGTGACATTGGGGAGGGCAGGAACAGTCCTAACAGTCTTGGAGCCCCTGCGTGAGGGCGGGAGAATGAATGGGAGGAAGGGGAAGAGTGAGAGCTCTTGGGCCATGGGCTGCATCCCCAGGGCTCCGGGGCTGGGGACTGAGGATGGAGATTTGACTTCAGCAGCCCTGCACAGGACAGCATGCAGAGCACCAAGCAGGGAAGGCTGGGGTGGGCGGTGCCGCCCGACCTGATGATCCAGAGCCTGCTCAGCCGCTGGCTGAGAGGAGCGGGTCCTGGGAGGCATCAGCTGGAGCCCAGGGCCTTCCCCAGCCGCAGACTGAGCTCACACTCCTCTGTCAGCCTGGGGTCTGGCGTCCCAGCGTGCAGGGTTCAGAGCGCGGCCCCACAAGACTGCAGTCCAGGTCCACTGTGGAGGAATCAGACCCTCCCTGCACAGCTGGGCTCCAGGGCTGGGGACATTGCCATGCACACCTGTGCTCCCTAGTCCAGGTGTGGAAGCCTAGACCACTCCTGACACCTGTGGTCCCAGGTGCGGGTGTCCACAGCTCACAGTGCTCCTGTCCAACCCCTGCGACTGTGGTGCCTATGGCTGACACCCTATGGGAGTGATTTTGCTAATTCAGTAAACTAGCAGTACACTGAATGAGGGAATGAAGTGCAGCGGTCCTCCTCCGGTCACAGGGACCCACTCACTGGCCTTCCTCACACGGTTCTGCCCACTCTCTCTCTGCCGTGAGCCCTGTACTGTGGAGAGCTGGCCAGAGCCGGCCCTGGAGGGCGGGAGGGGACTGTGCCACGTTCTGAAGCCTTTTTGCATCTCTGTTCACTGTTTTTGAGCAGACGCATTATTTCTGTGCTTTTAGAAAAATGCTTTAACTGCTCTTGCAGAGACGGAGCCACCCTGGGGACACAGCATGGACGAGTAGTGGAGGGGGGCTGCTAGTGTGGCTGCCTTGGGTTCGGGGACAGGCAGCTCAGTTGCAAGGGGACAAAGCCGCCAACAGCTTCTGAGCTTTCCATCCAGGGCTGGCAGGTGGCTGGGAAGGACCTCGCCACAGGGTGACCTGCGGACTCTGGGCATCCTCTGGCCCTCACGAGTGCACGGCCCAGGAACGCACAGGGCCGGGCAGTGGCTTCCCCACACCAGGCCTTCCTAGGGGCTGGGAGGGGAGGATCAGAGTTCGAGGTGGAGACAGGACAGCCCAGAATGGCCGCATCCTGGCCTCCTCTGCAGTCAGCTCTTCCCTGCCCCAGGGAGGGGACGCAGGGCCACGTCACAGATCCCCTGGTTCAGGGCATTTCCAGTCTGGGCATCCAGAGTTGGACAGGCAGCACTGCAGCTGTCCACCGGACTGTTAGGGACAAAGGAGGAGGTCGGGTGCCGGCGGCCTCCATCCGGCCTATC